TTACTATCATTCGAAAGAATGCGTTTTGGCATTTATTTTTGAAGATTATCTCTTCCAAATATGCCCGATAATTCGTTGTGATATCACATGATCTTTGTAACCAATCGACGGGCCCAAAAMGTAAAATTATCTGCCGAAGTATACTCTCAATAAATCCATTGATTAATACCAAGTGTGGGAATTGGCGCCGACTTGTTGAAACCAAATGTTGCCGAGATCACGAGCTTCAATTTTGGGCATCAAATAATCGGTTATCATGGTAAGATAACCGTCGCCATTGACGGTTATGCTCTTAATGGCAAAATTTTTGTAGAAATATGCACCGATGATTCCACTGACTTACAAACAACATTAAATCGTTGMTTTTTCTGGTTGAAACAGCTGCTCTTGAATCTCATCAGGTTGCTCTTCGATCCAAATGCGGCAATTTTGACTGAAATGGGCTTCATCGATGTATATATTCACTGCTGCTGATATATTATATTCACTGAGTGTTGGACGTACATAGTCTTTTCGATCGAATATTATCCAATAACGAATGCCGGGTCTTGTTGATGCGTAAGTCTCTCCATGATAAATTGCCAAGCAATACTGAACAATGATCACCCATTATTTCTACTTCATTGGCTGCACCGAAACCAGCGCAACTGTTTATATGGATTTTTTGCTAGGTTTTTGCTCTTTGCACATTTATAATTTGATTCGAAAATAATTATTTTTCCTTTAAAGTTAATATGTGTGTTGTGTTGCTTATTTGAGAACAAATTTAAATTTTTATGGAACAAAAAAACAAAAAAAAACAAAGAATCAAAGAGAAATAGAATAGTACTATAAGTGGCATACAAAGATCGGACATTTTTGTGGCAAAAATTTGGGGAGCGAATTTACATTTGACGTCTTATAAAGTGGAAAGCCATGCATGCATGAAAATATATTAAAACTAAGAAAAAAATAAATATCTATAAAATTTCAAAAAATTGAGAGTACTTTGAAAAACCTGAACCAMAAAACGACTGCGCAATTAKCCAATAAATTAAGAAYGACTAAAATGCTGAAGGGCACATGATCACACATATATACTCTCACACGTTCATACGGAGTGTCCAACAATGTGGCAACCCTCGGACTTTGTGGCTAATTAGGGTCGCCACAATGATTTTTGCAAATAACCGGAAAATTTCGTCCAAAATTGTTTGTGCGCTTTTTGATTTGCTCTCAACTGAGTTGGCTCCTGTTGTTGTTATTGCATAAGCTCGGCGAATAATTACGACCYGCAAATCGTTAGTGTCAACAAAATTCGTTGCTCAAAATGTTTGCAAATTGTCGCTTGTTGGCGTGYTGTAAATAAATAAACGCCAATGACTATGACAATTGACAATGTAAAGCGCACCACACCGCAGCCCTCAGAGTTGCATCAGCCTACCGAACAGTGTTGCATAAAAGATCTGGACTTATGGACGAGCCGTAAATTTGTCGTAGTCGATTTTTATACAACCCAGCTGTTATCCGATCACGGATATTTCAGAAAGKACTTCTACAGAACGTATATAATGACGCGACAGAAGACGACGCTGAACACACGTTCTTTGAATGCGCCGCTAGCAACGAGAACGCCGTAGGAATCCTGGTTGTCACAATAAACGTCAACAGTTTAAGCAGCGTCATGCTGGAGAGTGAAGAAAACTGGGTGATTATCCAGAAAATCGCAGCAATCTTGCTGCGCTGGACGGATG